TTAATTTGTAAAGTATGCAAGGTAGAAGCAATCTTTAAGCTTCTGGAAATTCAACCAAGTTACTTTAATTTTATTCCAAGTAATCTTCGAATTTTTTTGTTGCTACAACAATATTCATAATGTCCCACAACAAGTTACATTTTCCTAGCATTTTATATTTTCTACTCATTTACAATTTCTGCAAGGTTACATTTCAGCACACTTACATTTCCATGTACTTCACATTTCATGCACTTTACGTGTCAGGCACTTTACATTCCTCATAGCTTTACTTTTAAGCACTTTACTTTTATGATATTAACATTCATGTCTTTACTTTTTATAGTGATAATGGGTTAAAACGTCTAGCTTGGGTGTGAGTAAGGGTTGAGAGAGTAAGTCTTAAGTGTATATGGATAGTTGCTTTTACTATAGCAAACGAATCCCCTATGCACTCGTTGCAACATTACATCTAGAAATCTTCGACAATTGACGCATGTTGTTTTACTTAGATGAATTTGTTTTGTACAACATAAATGTGAAAACCTTGAGTGTTGTAGATGGCTACTTTGTGCTCCTGCTAACCTTCTAAAGGTTGCAACTACATTGTAAGAACTGTAGGATCTATGCCACACTTGCATTTATATTCCTTGTATATTGCAGCGGGCATTTCTTTTGAATTTCGAAAAAAAGGTTGTTCAAACTAGTATTGGCGTTTAAACCTATACCACAACATCTAATTTAGATGTTATAGCAAGGTTCTCTTGCACTTTCATTACTGAAATCTCAACATGAACTTGCACTCATACTCTCTTTTATTATTGTCATGTCTTGATAGATTGTTAACTCAAACTAAAGATCATCCCTTCTTGTTTTAATATCAACTTGTTGGAAATTCTCACTTTCATTATCCCTGAGGGTCGTTACTTGATATATATTCTTACCATTATGACTTGTTTTCAGAAGATATGGATGAGTATGTATACTTGTGTATTCTTCCATTTGATATATCATTTTAGGGTTGTCTGTCTGATACAAGAAGGTTTTGGTGTTGTTGTCGGGATAAGCCAACACAAGAGTTTCTTAATCATTTTTAAAATTTGATTATTCTACGAAAAATAAAAAATGAATTAAAGAAATACAAAAAAAAATATTTAAGTAGTTAGTTTAGTACCAATATCAATTTTTTTTTAAAATTTTTATGATATATATTTATATTTTATTTAAAAATAAAAAATTATTGTTTTCTCAAAACCACATAAAATTGTATTATAATATCGACTGAGACACAAAAAATGAAATATTAAAATCGAGATATATCTTACAATATTGTGCGAGCACCCTTCTAGATTATAGTAATAGAAATTAACTGAAATTATTAGATAATTCAGTTATACATTGTTGATTAGTTTTAATTATACAATAGATATAGTAATAATTATTAATTACTCATAAATGTTTTCAGTTATATCAATTATCTTTTAATCTATACTATATTATAAAGCATTTGGCTAAAACTCTTAAAAACTCTTAAAAATTCTTAAAACTCTTAAAACTCTTAAAACTCATAAAAACTATTAAACCCGTTCATCCCTAAACGATTTCATCCCTATCCGATTTCAT